CTCTCTTTTGGGACCTTCAGCATGCACATGCACACACCTAGTGTGTTTTTCGAGTCATCAGTCCAGGACTCAAACGTGAAGTCAATCCTGTGGGATTTAGACACTTCAAACACCACACCACCAGCTGGACCTATAATATATTATTTTTCTTTTCTGGGGGAGGTTTTTGCTATAGGGCATGTGCACTCACCAGAAAGAGAGAGACAGAGAGACAGAAAGTGAGAAATCACCACCCAAGGGGGATGGCCATGCTGCAATTCCTTCTCCTCCATTCTCTTCTCATGATTTTGGTACACGCACATGTGCCCAGCGTGTTTTTCAAGATGCTGGGTCCAGGACTTGAACCGCCATCAGCCATGTAGTAAGGAGTGCCTTAACCACCACGCCACTTGCGGGCCCTCTTTATTTGTCTTAATTCATGATAGAGTTTGTTTGTGTGTGTGAGGGAAGGAGAGAGTGAGAGAAAGTGAGAGAGACAGATGAATTACAAAATTTATGTTTATTTTTCAGTGCCCATTTTAAATTTTGATATAAATATGTGTACTCAAAATAATATATTTTTTCATATGGTTAAAATGATAGGGATCAGCTGCTGGCATGGTGGTTAAGGGTACTGGAATCCCACATGACTGAAAGCAGTTTAAGTCCTTGGACCTGGCAGCTTACTTTCTTGCTTTCTCTCTCTCTCTCTCTCTTACTCTCTGTCCCTCTCTGGTCAAATTTAAATAAATAACTAAAATTAAATAAAATAATTCTTTAAAATAAATAAATAGATGTATAGATGGCATTACACTGTATCTTTCTGCTAATTGGTTATATCACTTAATATTAGATTTATGAGGATTGTCTAGACTGATATAGAGAAATCTAGTTCACTCATTTTTACTGCTTTATAAAATCTATTATATAAACGTGTAACATATTATTTATCCAGAAACTTCCAGCTAACATTAGACTTCCACTGAGGCACTGACCATTAAAATGAGAAAGAAGGCAAATATGCACTGTATTGTTAATACAGTGTCCCGAAGGCACTTGACAGTGCAATGAGATACGTAAAAGAATGTAGTATAAATTATTGAATAGGAAGAGATAAAACTGTCATAATTTGTAAACCATGTCTGTGTACTTAAGAAGTCAGAGAGACAACCGAAATCAAAGAGATTTAGTTGTATTTTTTATTTCATTGAACATTTTCATTCCAAATTCAACATTTCTATCAAGAGATTAAAAAAAAAAGGCAGAAAGTAAAGAAGAGAAAGTGATGTTTTTTTACATTATTCCAAGTATACTCATAGCTGTAGTAGAAATAAATGACTATATATAATAATATATAATGTTATATCTTATACTATACATATGATCAAATTCCAACACAGATCAATAACTTACCTTTTTAATTCATAAAGAGTAAATTGTAGAAGAGATTAAAAAAAAAAGGCAGAAAGTAAAGAAGAGAAAGTGATGTTTTTTTACATTATTCCAAGTATACTCATAGCTGTAGTAGAAATAAATGACTATATATAATAATATATAATGTTATATCTTATACTATACATATGATCAAATTCCAACACAGATCAATAACTTACCTTTTTAATTCATAAAGAGTAAATTGTAGGGAGGGAGCCCATAAATAGAAAACAAGCTTGCTTTATCATTATGCAGAGATACTAATAAAGAGTGGGGGAAACAGTCAACAGTTTCCCATGGTGCTACAGTGGGCAGGGTGAGGGTTCCTAAGCTTCCCCGTAGGCCTGGGTATGTCCGGAGAAGGTACCTGAAGCAGAGGCCTGCTCACAGTGCCAACACAGCCCTCCCCAGCACACACCGCCTGCCTTAGGGCATACACTGAGTCCGGGGACCCCAACTCAGCTACAGGTTCCCAGGAGATAGGAGTGTGCTTCAGGAGGAACTTCACGCCACAAACCCACACAGGGGATGCTCAGCTGGGTGCATGAGGACCCCATTCAGTAACCCAAGGATGGAGTGCTCATCCAATGGCTCGCTGGTTATTAGCTGGGAAACAAGTCCAGTCGCATCGTGACCTCCCACCTGGCAAAAGAGTAAATTGCAAGTAGACCCGCGAGACAGAACGTTCAATAGAAAGCTATGGAAGCATTGGGAAAGGGCCAAGGAGACTCTTTCTGTAATCAGGCCGGGGTAGGGGGAGGAAAGGCTGCCCCAAGGCACACACGAAAACAAGAGGCAGTAAGGAGAAACGACCCTGCAGGGTGAAAAGGAGGTCATGAACAGAGCGAGGAGGGGCGAGGGCCACTGCGAGGAGGTGCAGGTGGCTTCCGACACAGACAGGGAAGGGGCCTACCGTCTGCAGGGCTGTGCTGGACTCTGGTGCAGCATCCGTCTGCGTCTCAGACTGCTCGGTGTCCCAGGGGGAGGAAGGCAGGAGCCTTCCACCAATCCCCACCATAGCTGCTCCACTCTTGGCAGAATGGTGTGAACGACCTCACAGAGATGGACATGGTGAGGGCTGTGCCGGACCCAGGGGTGGCACTGGAAGTGAGGGGACTGTGGGAGGGACGTAGAGTGGCAATGAGGATGGAGTGCTTGACCCTGGACAGGCCCACCAGGAAGCTGAAAGTCTGCGCCTTGCGTGCCCTTCCAAAGAGTGGGAAGTGGGGTGGGGTGTCCAGGCACGCATCTCGCAGGCTGGGAGGACACCAGGAGGATTTAGTGTGGAGGCCGGTACCTACAGGCACGTGAGGTAGACATACTACTGAGAAGCTATCCAGGGTCCTTTCTGGAGCTGGAAGGTAGTCCTGGTGGCCATTGCAGATTTGCACAAGGGACAGCTTAGGCGGGAGGAGCACCATCTGGACAGGGGCCCTCCCCACACAATGTGGCGAGCTCAGCACTAATGAGTTTCATCCCACGTTTGACGTGGGGAAGCTCAGCGGGGTTGTCTTTTAGGGGCAGCAGATGGGGAGGTCGTGCGAATGGAGGTTCAGGGCTGCCTTACTTTGCATGAAGTCTGGGATGTGGCAGCGGAGCTCTCACCACTGCTGAGAATCTCTTCAGGTCTCGATCAGGCCCTGGGCGGCAGCATGCTCCTGACTCCCGTATGTGTCCCAGGAGCAGAATCTGCAGGGAACTGGGCTTGTACCACAAGAATCCAAGAGCTGAGGGTCAGGAGAGAAAGCCTGAGCCTCTGAGACTCAGGGAGTGCTTTGGGGGAGGGCAGCGGCAGCAAACAGACAAGGGGGCTTTGCTTAGGTCACGACCATACCATGGAGACAGTTCGCTGGCTGGTGGGCTTTGCTGTGATAGTCCCTCAGGAGGTGGATGCAATGCCGCTGACGCCCTCCCCGAGTTAGGAGTCACCTGCCTGCCCTAACTTGGGGCCACAAGCTAGGAGGAAGAACAGCCTCTGCTTTTGTGGTAAGTTAAAGAAGCTGAGCGATGAGGGGCTGAAGACACCCTTGGCAAAGCAGGAACTACTGGGAAGGCTGGCTCCGGGAGCTGCCTACAGGGAAATGCTCCCTGAGGAAGAGTGCCCAGCTGAACTGCTGTCTGCTTGGGAGAAAGGCGAGCTCCCATCAGCAGCTCTTGAGGCAAGAAGACGGGGACCTAGATGCAGCCAGGGAAGCCCCAGTTAAGGAGAGCTTTGAAAGGGGTGTGGTGTCCAAGTGACCACAGTCACTCACTGGCCATCCACAGTGCTAGGGCATGGGAGGAAGCAGTGTGCCCACTGCCGGTTGGAGGATTTCCCAGAGTTGGTCAGGGGACCTGGAAGGCACCCAGGCCCCGTGCCGGTCAGGATGCGGTGTGGGGCAGACAAGAGGCAGGAAAGCTGCAAACCACCTGGAACCCAGACTCTGAGGAAGAGATGAGACAAGGGTGGAAACCTGTGCTCTGAGTGGACAGCAGGCAGCAGGCCCAGCCCTGCATAGGCAGTCATGACCCAGGGCTCAGTGGCCTGCAGGGACGCCATCCAGGAGGGGAAATTGGGCAGAAGCAGCACTGCCCAAGGGGAGCAGGTACATTCACTGGGTTTGCCATTGACTTTCAGCAAGGGGACCCTTCTTGACAAGCCACAAACATGCACAGCACCTGGCTTGGGTGATGCAGGGGCTAAGGCCTGCTGGGAAGGGCCTGGAGATGCTGAGGAAGGTGTGGCGGGACCAGGTGGGTAGATCCACGGTGCAGTTCGGGTACAAGGCCACTACCTCTCTTCGCAGGGATGCCAGCACCTCAGATGGAGGCCATGGTGCTGTCTCCTGATGGACAGACTGGCCACGGCCAGGCCAAGCACCCTCAGCATCTGCCCTGCCACCCTTGTGGGAAGGACTCTACTGCCTCCTTCTGGGGTTGCACAGGAGGTAGTGGGAGGGGGTGGAGACAGGGAGAAAGGAGGCATGCCCCGAAGGAAGCAACAGCCAACTCTTCTCACTCTGCCAGGAGGTAGTGCCGGGACCCAAGGAAGGGGAGGCGGGTGGAACAAGGCTTCACGGTGGTTCTGCAGGAGAAACTGAACTACACAAGGTAGGCTCTGGGCAAGTGGCAACCTTCATTGCCACCAGTGTGCCTGACGTGTGCACGGAAGCCTGGCACAGCGTCCCTTCCCACTGCCAGCACCTCCCGTCCTGGCCACCACCTCCAGGGAATGTGCGCACAATCACCAAAGAGACTGACCTTCCTCCAGGTCCGCAGTCAGGGAAAGACACTGTTACCTAGGGACCTCTCTGCGCCAGGTACCATACCGCGGGCCTCGCAGGTGTTGTCTCTCAATCCTCTCCACATTCCACCCCAATTCCACCAGTCCCATTGCCTCATCCTCCCCCTAGTCCCCAGCTCCTTCTTGAAGCTTATCCTGAGTACCTCAGCGCCCCCCCTCCCCCACTCCTGTCTACTGTGAGCGCTGAGAACCACACGTTTGTCAGGGAGCAGATGCCCCAGTTAGCTGTCGTTCGGTGCGGATCTCTGTCTTTCTCTTCATGCAGACTGCCGACTCAAGGATAAGCACCATGTCTCTTTTTGCCAATCAAAGCACACAACTTTATTGATGATACACAGATGCAGACTTGGGTGGAGGAGGTTATGTCAGTACAATAGCAAAAAGGGGAGTGTACTTTTTCCATGAAGAGCTTCACCACCCATGAGCTTATGTAGAAGAAGGGGTAGAGGAAAAACCATTCAACCTAAGGTCAACAAATGCGCTTTCAGCCCAAGCTCTGACGTGGGTCTGGTCTCTGCACGGCGGCCCGGCTTCGATGGGGACACTACCATGGGCAGCAACGGCACTCGCGATGCTGTGGTTTGATGTTCTTTCTCCACAGCGGGCGGCAAAGTGGTCCCTTTAGCACACCCAGAAGGCTGCAAGGGAATAGCAATTTACAGTGCACATTGCCCGCAGACTGCAAAACCAAAACGTGACTCAAAGCTCTTGGGGCGCCCCTGCCTGGCCAAGAGGAATGTGGTCCTCCATTTAGCAACTGGAACTGTCGCCCCCGTGATGTGGTGATTGGCTGAGGCTGGGTCTTCGGTAGCACCCTCTGCAGGTTCTTTGACAGCTGCAAACTGCACGGGTGTTGGGTGGACTCAGTCCCTCTGTGTGCCAGATGGCATTTAAGGGGCAAGGGTTTCCAGGAGAACCTCTCTGTCTCCATTTCCGATAAAGAGGGACATGAATGAGAAGAGCATCTGGGCACCGAGCACTTCCCCTGCCAGGACTGGCTTTCGACACAGACCCATTGGAGGTTTCCAGACCTGAGCCTTAGCACCTCCACTCCCCTCTGGCATCAAAGGAAACTTCAAGTCTGAAACGGACTTGGCAAGCATGTGATTAATAACTGCCACGCTTATTAACAGATTTAATCCGGCCTGCTGCAGAAATGAGTTGCAGCAACGTGACACGGTCTCCCGACACACCTCATTGATGTACATCTCAATCTGGCCCTGACTCGTGAGACTCTCATTCACGTTATCCTGGGCACACAAAGCTTTCTCCCTGACAGCGGGCTTGGGAGAAGGGATCGTGTTTCCAACCACCGAGAGGCTGGCCAGGTGACTATTGATATTGTGGCTAAATGAAAAATCAGCATCCATGGGCTCGGCAAACGACAGTTTTCCCTGAATGAAAGGACACTTGGAGAGGCCTAGTACACTAGTGCTTTCATTTTGTCTGCTCCACAGAACATTAACATTTTCATTGAGGAAAATATGATTCTTTTTTATTGGAATAGTGTTCTTTTTGGGAGAGTCTATATCCTTTCTGCCCATGGCTTATGTGAGCCTCATTTCCAGGGTCTTACTTTTTCTGAACCCTTGATCGCAGGCCAGAGCCTTACCTGTCCTCACCCGTATCTGCACCTGCCCCACTCTTCTGATGTTTTCTTACTTTGTCACACTGTCTTCTGATGAGTGGCTGAGCTATAGCAACTTCTAGGTCTGACCTCCAGATCAGCTTTCTCTAATTCATTAAATTGTGCTAATGGGTCTCCCTCCTTTTTTCTTAAATCTGTTTCTTTATCTACTGAGACAAAGACATGCACACATCTCCTCCCATGGGTATGCCCATCATATTCAAGTCTAACTGGGCTTCAAAGCTTTGTCCTTCCTACATGCTCTTGTATCTTGCGGGACTGCCCTACCACCTGTGTCCCTGAAGCTGGGCCATATGTGATTCTTGAAAAATCATTTTCTAGAAGGATATTGTTGGACATTCTTTTCCTGGACACATGCTATCTACCTGTCGTCCAAAATGGACTTCAAGGCAATGCAAATACACTGAGATTTGATAGAGACATGTGAACACACAGGATACAAGGATACCTCTCTTTCTTGACTTAGAGTCTTAATTTTCAAATGTTCCCCCTGTAACATTTACCTGCCACCCGCCTCCTGCCCTGGCTCATTTCCATTTTTTCCCCAGAGGTACAGTGCTTGCCTTTTTCTAGCACCAAAGTAAGAGCAGAGGAGAACAAAGACTGACGAGAGAAAGGCATAGTGCCTCTGGACTCTATATTCTGACTCTGGTGCTCCATTCTCACCCCCTTATCTCAAGGATACCATACTTCATGGAATGATCTTTTTTACCTCCCTTAGCAGAGCTTTGTCTAAAGATAGACAAGACAGAATGGAGAAGGGCATATTCACTTGTACATAAGTCTCAGACTGAGGAATGTAGCTTTTAAAAGCCTCCTGTTCGAGTATTAGTCACACCCCCACCTTTTCCTCCAGTTACTTACCTAACCCGCAAATGCCCACTTTTCCACTCTATCCCACCCCCACCCTTCTTCTGCCCTATAGATATTGACATTGCCTTTCCAGAGGCAGAAAAGACTGGGATTAAGGGCTTTTTTGAAACAAGACAGAAATGCCAGAGTGGGTTTCTGGTTTAGCGCTTGCCTCTACCACCCCCTTGTGGCTACATCTGGTCCAACATTTTCCCAAAGGAATGCATTGTTGCTTCAGTTTCTATGGAATATCCTGCCATTTTCTTCCTCTTCTTTTCCCTTGGGTTGTGTTTCCCCCTACAGACAGATAAAGAAATCAACATCTATTGATAAGGTTAATGAACATTTAGTATTTGGGTAGTAGTTCCTACCTTTTACGGATTTAGAACTCTGTAAAGCATTTTTCACCTCTCTCTCTCAAATCCCCAAGACCAGCTCTCTCCCTGGCCCCGTGTACCAACCAGTTAGGGTACTAAAATGAGCTCATGGGTGGTGTGGGGAAAACTGACTCTCCCTAACCCTGACTTTACAAATTCCAGAGCAACTCTCACTCTCACACCAAGCTGAACATAACCAGAGGCACAGTTACTTCCTTCTTCTTTACTTGGCTACAAACACATCTCTCAGCAGGGAGCTTATAGATAGATCAAAAAGACTACACTTGTGCACAGTTCTTGGTCACCTGAGATACACATCACAAATAAGCAATAGTCCCCAATTTCCCCTCCCACCAGCAGTGATGCAAGAGTATCCCCGCCTCTCTCTCTTCTCCCCAACATACCAGACTTGCCATTCATATTTTTCTTTGCCAGTCCTAGAATCGAAAAGAAAGTGCATATCTGTTTTCTTGAAATTTGCCTTTCTCTGGTTTCTAGAGAGAAAATGCATCTTCTCCTGAAGTAACTATTTCTATTTCTTTGTCTTCTGCCAGAATACACTGCAATGGCCCATTTCTTTACTTTCCCTCTCTTTAACCACTAATAACCATCACCCTGCTTTTATCCATGAAAAGGCAGGTTTATGAAATAAAGCGTGGAGAGATAGCTTGTGGGTGTTTTTTTTTTTTAGTTTTAGTTTATTTATTTATCTGTTTATTTATTAGTTTTGCTGTAGGGTGTATGTGCTCACCAGAGAGAGACACAGAGAAACAGGGAGAGAGGGAAAGTGAGAAATCACTCCACAGAGGAGATGGTCATGCTGCAATCCTCTCTCCTCCAGTCTCCTTGGGATTTTAGGCATGCGTGGGCACACATGCACATGCACCCAGCATGATTCTCAAGCTACTGGGTCCAGAACTTAATCTGCACAGCCAGCCATGTGGCATCCAGCACCCTAACCTCCACGCCACCTGTTGGTTCAAAATAGAGATAGCTTGATTCCTTATTTTTTCCTCTTCTCATTTTTCTTGAAGATATTGGCTTTTTAAAAATATAGGGGTCAGCAGGTGGCATGGTGGTTAAAGGCACTCAATTCCCACAGGGTCAACCGCAGTTCAAGTCTCAGACCTGGTGGCTTGCTTTCTCACTTTCCCTTTCTCTCTCCCTCTCTCTCTCTCTGTCTCTTTCTGGTCAAATTAAAAAATAATAACCAAAAAGCAGTGAAGGTACTTAATGAGAATAGGACAGTGTGGAATGTGGGGAGTGAAGAGAAGAGGATAGAGAAAGATAGCAAGTGAACAATAAAGAGGCAGGACGTTAGTGAGAAAGAGATATGGCTTATTAACTGTTGTTGACGACATGTATAGTATTCTCAACTGGATTGGTCTGAGAAGTATTTCATGATGGGCAAAGTATTTTTACAAGCAAAATGAGAAATAGCAATTGACTGTTTTATAAAAATAATTAGAATAATAAAAATAATGATTGGGGAAAACA